TCTTTATCCCAAAGAAATTGCTGAACGAAGCCAGGGCGATTACCTGGAAAAAGCCGTGCGCTTAATTGAAGAATCGGTGGTGGCCTATGAAAATAAGCAGGTGAATGAAGCCCGCAATTTGGCATTAACCGCCTATCTGGAAGGCGTAGAGCCCGTTGAGGTGCAGTTGCGCGCAGCCAACGCCCGTTTTGCCTCCGATTTAGAACTGCAGTTGGCAAAAATGCGTAGCGCCATTGAAGCCGATAAAACAGCCGGTGAAATAAACCTCCTGGCCAACAAGAGCATTGACATGATAAGAGAAGCGCAAGAAATGATTGGCGAAAAAACCTTTTCGGGTTGGCTGGCATTTTTGCTCTCTTCCTCCATTATTTTGCGCGAAGGCCTCGAAGCCTTTTTGGTAATCATTACTATTTTGGGCATAATTCGGGCCTTAAAATTGCCCAATGCGGCCAAATGGGTACACGGGGGCTGGATGGCAGCCATTGGCATTGGCTTCCTGCTTTGGCTAGCAGCCGGCAAACTGTTTTCATTTAGCGGAGCACAACGCGAGTTAATGGAAGGCTTTGTGGCCATTTTTGCCGTGGGTGTATTGCTGTACGTGGGCTTTTGGATGCACAGTAAATCTGAAGCCGGAAAATGGCAAGCCTACATCAAGGGGAAAATTCAAAACCTGGCCCGCAAAGAAAACATGTTAGGCCTGGCCTTTTTATCCTTCCTGGTCGTTTTTCGCGAAGCCTTTGAAAGTGTTTTGTTTCTATCGGCTTTGAGCTTAGAAGTAGGCGAATCGCAGCAAATGGCCTTTGGTGGCGGGGTAGCCTTTGCCTTTGTCTTGCTGTTTATTATTTCGGTACTTCTGCTCAAGTACTCCAAAAAACTGCCCATCACCAAGCTCTTTAAATACTCGGCCATTGTGATTTCATTTTTGGCCGTGGTGCTTATTGGCAAAGGGGTGCACGCCATTCAGGAAGCAGGAGCCATCAGTATTTCCATTATTCCGGTTAATTTCAGCGTTGACGCCATTGGCCTTTACCCTACCTGGGAAAGTGTTTTGGCCCAGCTCTTTGTTATTGCCTTAATTGTTGTGCTTTGGAACATCGGCAATAAATCTACCAAAGCCGTGCCCAAACAAGCCAGCGCCAGCTAACATTCATGCCATTGTAAATTATCAGCGCCCTGCTTTCGCACGAAAGTGGGGCTTTTTCTTTTGCCGGCTTTAGGCTACTTCGCCTTATCTTTCCCGTTTGTAAATAAAAATGGAAATGAAGTATTTGCTGCCCCTCTTGCTGATCCCTGCGCTTTTTTATGGTCAAGCCGAAAAAAACCTTCGCTCTGAAATTAGCACCGTAACCGTTTTTGAACGCGGGGCGCAAATTAGCCGCACAGCTACTGCCACGGTGCAGCCGGGCGAGCAACTGCTGGTGTTCAGAAACGTATCTCCGCGCCTCAACGAAGAGTCGCTGCAAATTGAGCAAAACGGAAATTTAGATGTACTGAATCTTTCCCACCAAATTCAGCACCTAAGTGACAATAAGGCTTTGCTTGACAGCCTGGCCAAGCTAAACGAAAAGTTAAAGGCCATCGGCAAAGGCATTGAGCAAACTAGAAATAAGCTTAGAGCCAATATTCTGGAAGAAAAAGTGCTGCTGAGCAACAGCAAGTTTAGCGGTGAAAGCAATAGCGCCTCCAACCTACAATCCGGATTAAACCTGGTGCGCAACCAAATGCAGCAAATTCTCAAAAACCGTGAATTGCTGCTCAATGAACTGGAAGAAAAAGAAAAAGCGCTGCAAAAGGTTTCCAATGAACTTTTGCAAAAGCGCATTCGCCAAAGCCAAATTGAAGGACAGGTACATGTGTTAGTTAACGCTCCTGCAACTAAAAAGGTGGAATTTACTTTGAAGTACACGGTAGATGATGCGGGTTGGTCGCCCGTTTATGACATTAAAATGAACGGAATTAATAAACCCTTGCAAATTAGCTACAAGGCCAATGTTTATCAGGCAACCGGTGCCAACTGGAAAGACGTAAAATTGATGTTGAACAGCGGCAATCCCTCAACTTCGCTCAACAAACCTATTCTACAGCCCTTTGAAATCGGGAATTTGGCATACAATACCGGCTATCACAGAAATAATCAATACCGCAACAATTACCTGGGTTTTACCGGAAAACTAAGCGGCATTGTGAGCGACCAAAAAACCAACCGCGGCCTGGAAAATGCCACGGTGGTGATTTACGACAGCCGGGGGCAGGCCATTAGCGGTACTTCTACCGATGCTTCCGGACAATTTAAGATTAACATGAAGCAACCCGCACGTGCATTCCAGGTACTATCGGTAGGCTATCTCTCCAACCGCATAAACTTAAACACCAATCAACGATTTTATACCATAGAGCTGAAGCCTGGTGAATCTACCCTCAGTCTGCTTTCAGACGAAATTCAAAACATGGCTGCGCGCGATATCAGTTCCATTGCCGCGCAATCAGCCGGAGTTACTAGCACGCGGGGTTCCCGAGGAGACGAAACCGTCTACTACCTTGACGGGGTGAAAATGAGGGGAAGCGTAAGTCTACCAGAGGCTTCTATGGCAGATTCGGATGTATTAGCAGAAGTTGTGGTCGCGAAATCTGGTTATCAACATGGAAATTTCAGCGCTGCCGCGGATGAGCTGAACCTCAATTTTGAAGTTTCCACGCCCTATTCTATTCCATCCGATGGCCAGCCCAAAACGGTTATGCTGCAGGGCTTTGAAGCCGATGCCCAATACAATTATGTGGCCATTCCCAAGGTAGAAAGCAACGCTTACCTCAGCGCCAAGCTGGGCAATTGGGAAAAACTAAACCTCCTGAGCGGAAAGCTCAATCTTTACCTCAATGAGGTATACCTGGGCGAATCTGATTTAAACCTGCAACAAACAAATGACACGCTTTCTATTCCCCTGGGCGCAGACGAAAGGGTAATTACCAACCGTACTTTGGTAAAAACCGATGAGTCGAAAAATATTTTTAACGGCAGAATTACCAAAACCTTTGCCTACAAACTAAGCGTAAGAAACAATCGCCCGGAAGCGCTAACCGTTCAGCTTGAGGATCAAATTCCCATCAGCCGTTCGGCAGATATAAAGGTTGAAGTAATAAACCTGAACGGAGCCAAAATGAATGCCGACAACGGCCAATTAATCTGGAATTTAACCGTTCCAGCGGGCGCAGAAAAAGAGGTGAATTTCAGTTATCAGGTGAGCTATCCGGGTACCATTCAGATTAATCATTAATTAAACTACGACTTATTGCCTCCGCTTGAAGAGGCAACCTAGCAAGATTCTGAAAAAACACAAATCATCGTGATAGCCTGCTTAAGCGTTCGCCCGGTCGAGCGGATCGCATGTCACAAAAGCTTTGGCGGTTGCGAGGCGATGAAATAGTCGAGACCCACCACCCTCAACTCACTCCACTTCATAAAAAGTATCGGCTACGTGCGCTTCCAATGAATTGAACTCTAAAAACTGACAATCCTCCAGCGCTTTAAAGCGGTGTAAAACCCGCGGGAAAATATAAACCAAGTGCTGGCTTTCCAGCGTATGCTCCTCTTCTTGGCCACTATCGAGATGCTTTAGCCATACCTTCATTCGGCCGGAGAGCAAAAGTAATTTTTCAGGATTTTTACTGGGTGATTTGCCCTGGTGCCAATGGTTGCCAAATTCGGCACCAGGCTTGCGCGAGGCCAAGAGCATGCCGGGGTGTTTAATTTCCATGAGCTCGTGCGTACTGCCTTTTTCATTGGTAGAAAGGTGCTCGATGGCCTTAATCTCGATTAGCTTCATGTGGTACTTTTGAAAGAAGTTTCGGTGCCAAAATAAGCGCTTTGTTTTAGGATATGGTTGGTTGAAAATATATTTTCGCCAAAAGCATTTCTATGATTCAACTTGATATACAATCTATTTTTAAAGAATTGGGCCTTGAAGCCAATAATCCCGGAACATCAACCGGCCAAAATCACTTTGGCAGCGGAGAAACTATTGAGAGTTTCAGCCCCATTAACGGCCAAAAAATTGGCAGCGTAAAGGCCACTACCAAAAACGAGTACGAACAGGTAATTAAGGCCGCCCAGGAAGCTTTTAAAACATGGCGTACCATGCCGGCCCCTCAACGAGGAGAAATAGTGCGCCAGTACGGCATAAAACTGCGCGAAAACAAGGAAGCCTTGGGTCGCCTGGTATCATTGGAGATGGGAAAGTCTCTCCAGGAAGGCTGGGGTGAAGTTCAGGAAATGATAGATATATGCGACTTTGCCGTTGGACTTTCTCGCCAACTGTATGGCCTGAGTATGCACTCGGAGCGCCCTAGCCATCGCATGTACGAACAATGGCACCCCATGGGCATAGTGGGCATTATTAGCGCCTTTAACTTTCCGGTAGCCGTTTGGTGCTGGAACACAGCTTTGGCCTGGGTTTGCGGTGACGTTACCGTTTGGAAACCCAGCGAAAAAGTAGCCCTTTGTGCGGTGGCTTGTCAAAATTTGTTTGCCGAAGTGCTCAAGGAAAACGATCTGCCGGAAGGCATTAGCAACGTGGTAGTAGGAGGCGCTGAAACGGGTGAATGGCTGAGCAATGATCAGCGCATTCCTTTGGTTTCTGCCACCGGTTCTATTAGAATGGGGCGTTTGGTAGGCGAAGCCGTAGCCCGCAGATTGGGCAAATCATTGCTTGAGCTGGGCGGAAACAACGCCATTATTATTACCGAAAATGCCGATTTGGACGCTACCCTGGTTGGTGCCGTGTTTGGCGCAGTAGGTACCTGTGGCCAACGTTGCACCAGCACGCGCAGGCTTATTATTCACGAAAGCAAGTACGATGAGGTTGTAGAGAAAATGAAGAAGGCCTACGGTCAGTTGAAAATTGGCAACCCGCTCGACACCAATAACCACGTTGGGCCGCTCATTGATAAAGCAGCGGTTGAGCAATACGAAATGGCACTTGAAAAAATTGCCAAAGAAGGGGGCAAGATGATTGTAGAGGGCGGAAGAATAGAAGATGATGACCGACCCGGAGGATGTTACGTAAAGCCCTGCATTGCCGAGGTACAAAACGATTACGCCATTGTGCAAAACGAAACTTTTGCGCCCATCTTGTACGTAATGAAATACAAGAGTATTGATGAAGCCATTGCCATGCAAAATAACGTTCCTCAGGGGCTGTCATCCGCAATAATGACTACCAACATGCGCGAAAGTGAACTCTTCCTCTCATCGGCCGGTAGCGACTGCGGCATAGCCAACGTGAACATTGGCACGAGCGGGGCAGAAATTGGCGGTGCCTTTGGCGGAGAAAAAGAAACCGGTGGTGGACGTGAAAGTGGATCTGACGCCTGGAAAGCCTACATGCGCAGGCAAACTACCACCATTAACTATTCTACCGAGGTGCCTTTGGCACAGGGAATAAAGTTTGAAATATAAACTGACTTCAATTGATTTGGAAAGGCCGGTTGGGGATGCAAACCTTCAATCGGCCTTTTACATTTTAAACCTGTAGTTCAAGCGCAGGCTGGTAATATGCCGTCCAAAATATTCTTCGCTGTTTCCGGTGGGCTGAAACCAATATATATAGCCAAGGCTGGCACTTATGCCCTTGCCAAAATTTTGCTTTACCGTGGCTTGCAACCTGTTTTGGTTAAACAAAGGCTGTTCTCCGCTGCTAAGCAGGGTTAAGTGAAGTTCATTGGCTAAATTTAAGCGTGTACTCAATCCCAAGGGAATAGAATAGGTTACTTTCAAGCGCGCTCTTAAATCCTCACGCAAGGTATTTCCGGTAAAGAAGCTGGTGCTTTCAAGCGGCCGGAATATGCGGTACTCGCTCATTATTGAAAATTTCCAATGGTATCCATTATCGCGGGCCAGCGTATAGGTAACTGCGTGATAGGGACGCGTTTCCTTCACCTCCCCCAGGTAGGGATCAAAAGGGTTTTGTGGATCGCTAATTTCAAACAGCCACAAGCCGGCCTTATTCGACCATTTCTGGTTGCTTTCGTAATTGGCATGCACGTCTAACCACACCCTTTGCTGGCGCTGCATAGGAAAGATAAAACGCCTTTCTTCGCTAAAAATACCCACCGATAAATTTGTATTGATATCGGCATCAATTCCCAGGCCCAGCCACAGCAATTGCTGATCAACAGTTTTTACTTGCGCCAAGGCGGGGAATGAAACTAAGGTGAGGATAATTGAAACAAAGAATAATCGCATCCAGTAGATTTTTCCGGGCAAAACTACACAGTTCGTTTATAAACGGATTGCCATTAAGGAGATAACTGCGTTGAATCCGAAGGGAGCGACATACATTTTTTTAGGCGGTAATTTAAAATCATTACACTTCATATGCGCCTTATCTTTGAACCATAAAACTTTTAGCATTGTCAGCAAGCCACAAGCACGAAGCACGAATACACGGGAGTAAATATCCGCTGGTAAACCGATTTCAGGAATATCTTGGCGAATTTGTTTACGGGGGTATAGACGGGAGTGTAACCACATTTGCGGTGGTGGCCGGATCGGCCGGGGCTGCCTTAGACAGTAGCGTAGTAATAATCCTTGGGTTTGCGAACCTCCTGGCCGATGGCTTTGCCATGAGCGTAGGCAGCTATTTATCTACTAAAAGTGAAAAGGAAAATTACGATAAACACAAGAAAATTGAATACTGGGAAGTAGATCACCTTCCGGAAAAGGAGCGGGAAGAAATTCGGGAAATTTACGAAGCCAAGGGCTTTGAAGGAGAACTCCTGGAAAAGGTGGTGGATCAAATTACAGCCAATAAAGATCGTTGGGTAGATGTAATGATGAAAGAAGAACTGGAAATGAGCGAGGAAACAAAATCGCCCATTGCCATGGGTGGTGTTACCTTTTTTAGCTTTCTGCTTTTTGGCTTTATTCCTTTGCTAACCTACGTGCTCGATTACACCTTTGGACTTACCACTGATTTGTTTATGGTTTCCTCCATTCTCACCGCGGTGGTATTCGTAATCATTGGATCATTAAAAGCAATAGTAACCCAAACCAAAATATTTCGCAGCATAGCGGAAACCCTCTTTCTGGGTGGAGCTGCTGCCACACTGGCCTATTACGTGGGTGCGGTACTCGAGCAATTTTTCGTTTAAATTCTGAGGTTCATGCGCTTACAATTAAGTTTGTAAGATTATTCTCTGCTATAATTATATTTGATAACCATAGCAACAGAATATGACACGCACACTTCAATTACTCAATTGGCTGGGATTTATCGCGGTTATTGTTACCAATACCTTAGCCAATACCCTGCCCATAAACAATTTAACCACCGGTGAAGTAGCCGCCTTATACCCCAATTATTTTGTGCCTGCTGGTTTTACCTTTTCTATTTGGGCCTTAATATACCTCGCTCTTTTTGCCTTTATTATTTGGCAAAGTAGCGGATTATACACCGGTGAAAAAAAGCCGATAGCCGTTAAACTCATTGGCCTGTGGTTTTTCTTTTCCTGTTTAGCCAATGCCGCATGGATAGTTTTCTGGCACCACTTACAGCCTTTTTGGTCACTCCTTTTGATGGTATTTTTACTATTTACCCTGATACAGATTTACCGCAACCTGGGCTACGGCAAACGCCAATTGAGCCGTCTTGAAAAAATATGCGTGCACTTGCCATTTAGCCTCTATCTGGGTTGGATTAGTGTGGCAACCATTGCCAATGTAACCGCGGTATTGGTGCACTACAACTTTGAGGGCTTGGGTCTTCCGCCCGAATTTTGGTCGGCAGCCATGATTATTGTGGCCGGCTTACTGGCCCTTTTCTTCTTAAATCTGAATTTCGATTTTATCTATGCATTGGTAGTGGTTTGGGCCTGCATAGGCATTCTGGCAAAATTTTACTTTCAAAACTCCGATAGCCCGCCCGTAATAGGTACATCGGCTGCCGCAGTAATTGTGCTCATCCTATACCGCATTACCCGTTCAGCGCGAAGCTTAAAAGGCAACAAGGCCTATTTTTAGTAAGTAACTAAAAATAGGCCTTGCAGGAAGCTTAATCTGGTTTTAATTAAGGCAAGTCGGCTTGAAATTTTTGGTACCGTGTACCAGCGGTTAGCGTAGTATCACAGCTCTCATCGATGGCCTTCTGTGTAATATTATCGATTCTGTTGTCGGGATTGGGATGGGTGCTAAAGAATTCGGGAATATTGCTTCCCTGTCCTTGCGCCTCCAGTTTTTCAAAGAATAACTTTGCGCCATCGCAGGCAAACTCTGTGTCTGCCAGGTACTCCACCGACTTTTCATCCGATTCAGTTTCAAACTCGCGGCTAAAGCTTAGCCCGGCAGCCGTACCGGCTATTTGCGCGGCTATTTGCTCCAGTTGGCTAGCATCGTCACCGGTAATCAGTTGCAGCAAAAAAGATACTCCGTACTGGCGTTGCAAATTTCTACTGGTATGGCGCAAATCTGCATGAGCCACTTCGTGGGCCATAACCCCGGCAAAGGCATCGGCATTGTCAAGGTACTTTATCAGGCCGGTATACACGTACAAATAGCCGCCAGGAGCCGCAAATGCATTTAACACATCATCGTTAATTATTTTCACTTCCCACACAAATTCATCGCGATAGGCCACTTCATCACTGCTCAGAATGGCATTCATTACCGAATCTAAATAATTGTAGGCCTCGGGATACTGCTGACGCGATAGTATCTGAAATTCCGGATCGTTGCTGATTTGACTGTCAACATCAGCACCCAACGCCTTATCATCTTCAATGGAAAATATGGAAACATTGTTGTTCTTATCGCAGCCTTGCATGCTAAAAACCACTGATAAACAAACAATTGAAAGGATTCTTATACTTCTCATAAAATACTAATTAAGGGGACGAGGTAAATACAACCGAAAGCAACTTCCTTGGTTTAAGGTGCTATCCACTTCCATTCTACCTTCATTTTCATTTAAAAATTGCGAACTTATTAAAAGGCCCAAACCAAAACCAACTTCGTCTAAAGTGCCTATTTCACTTAAACTGTTGGTGCCTTCTCTAATCTGATTGAGTTTTTCAGGCGTCATGCCAATTCCGTTATCGCATATTTCAAGTAGGGCTTCACGCGCTGAATAGGCCTTGCTCGAGAGGCTTATTTCACCTCCTTTTTGAGAAAACTTAATGGCATTCTGTAAAATATTCCTGAGTATTATGCGCAGGTGGTTTTCATCAAAATACACCTCCAAGGGCTCTATATTCAATGAAACTTCAATGTTTTTGCGATCAATACTTACGCTTTGCTGCAACAACTGCTTTTTTATAAATACAGATAGTTCTATGGGTCTTTTTTCGATAGTGATTCCGGCAAACTGCGCTTTGCTCCAAACCAGCATGTTATTCACCATATTGCTGGTTTTGAGCACCGATTCGCGCAGGCTATTCAGTATTTCACTTTGCTCATCAGAGGTTAAAGAACCGCTGCTTATCAATTCAATAGAAGCCAGTAATTGATTAAATGGCTGCCTTAAATCGTGCGAAAGCACCGAAAAGAGCCGGTCTTTAGACTTATTAATATTGCGCAATTGTTCATTGGTATCTTCCAGTTCTTTGGTCTTTTCGTCCAGTTGCGCCCGGTGTTCCAAAATCTGTTGATTTCTTTCCAACAATGCATTGTTGTACGCCTGGGTTCGTTTGCGCAACAACAGCAGAAAAACAATAAAAGCTATGCTTACTGCCACCAACAAAACCATAAACACAATCCAGCGGCTGCGGTACTTGAGTTCTGACTCCTGCTGCTGCTGAATGAGGCGTGAATCATACAGTTTCTTTTTGCTGTTTTCAGACTGTTTGCTGAGCAATTCGCTATTAACATCCAGCACCACAATAGAATCATTGTAGACATATGACCTTTTGTAGGCCGAAAGTGCATTTTCAAAGCGGCCGTCTTGCTCATAAATTTGAGAATATATGTACCAGGCTTCCATTAGAAGCTCGGGTGAGCGTTCGGCCTTGGCAATTGCCAGGCTGCTGTCGGCATAGCGATAGGCCGAATCTAAAAGAGACATTGCGTTAAAAATCTCAGCCTTTTGGCCGTAGTAAATACTTTGGCCGTAACGATCACCGTAGTGTTCGTTAATTTTAATGGCCTTGTTTATGGGCGGCAGGGCCTCCTGGTATTTACCATTCAAATAATCAAGGTATGAGAGCTCGCTGTATGCGGATGCCACGCCCATGCTGTCCTTAAATTTGCGGCTTAGCGCAATGGCTTTATACAAGGTATCTCGCGCAGCATCCAAGGCACCCCTCTCTCTTAAAATTACGGCATAATCAACATATATTCCGGGCAGCAAATAGTTGTGTGAAGTATCTTTTTTGCTGGCTTCATAGGCTTTTATCAAAGCGACCTCCGCCTCCTCTGTTTTCAATTGCCAGGCCAAGAGAGTAGACAAGTTGTAATAATAAAATACCGCTCCCGAAGGATCGCCCCTTAAGGTATCAATCCTGTAGGCACGGGTAAAGTTCTCAAATGCCTTATCTACTTGATTTGTATAGGAGTAGGCCAGGCCTAAATTTACCAGCGCCTCGCTTATTCCGGCTGAGTCATTTAGGCCTTCATATTTAGAGAGGGCCAGCTCTCCGTAATATACTGCCGAATCTATATTGTTGAGGTAATAATGAGCGAGACCAACATTATTTAGCGCGTTGGCTACCTCTGCTGTGTCGTGGTGTTCTTTTGCAGCATTTAAATACTGCTTTGACGCACTTAATGCGGCCTTGATATCAGTGCCCAGTAAGGCCTTACTCTTTTTGTAAAGAGTTTTTAAATGTGTACGCTCTTGTTTATCAACGCTATGCGAACGAAGCGTTGATGCACATGATAGCGACACAAAAATGGTGAATGCTAAGTATTTGGTGTAGTTCAATGTATGCTAAAAATCGCCCTAATTTAATCAAATGCAAATGAAGTGGTCCAAAATAATACGCGCTGTTGTACAAAGGCTCTTTTCAACAGCTATTTCGCTCACAAAATAAATGCATAGGAGCTCAAACCGCACCATGATCAACAGTGAAACCAATGGCCAAACACCAATTAGCCGTAAAAGCCTATCTTTAAACCTGAATATAACCCAACTATGAAGAATAAGCAGTACTTGATTTTAGGTTTAATGCTCCTGTGCTTTTTTGGTTTTGAAGCCGCTGCACAAATGGAAAACCGCGTGAGCCCCATGGCCACCGAAACGGCTAAAATTAACGAGGCCACGGTAAGCATTACTTACAGCCAACCCTCTAAAAAGGGACGAGAAATATTTGGAGGCTTAGTGCCCTACGCAAAAGTATGGCGCACCGGAGCCAACGAGGCAACTGTTTTTAAAACGGATACGGATTTAATGCTAGCGGGTAAAAAACTACCAGCAGGCCAATACGCGCTTTTTACCATTCCCGGTAAAAATGAGTGGACCATAATTCTAAACCGCCAACACAAGCAGTGGGGCGCTTATAATTATGATGCAGAAAAAGACCAAATACGTTTTACCGCCCCCGTCCAGAAGAATGAGGAAGCGGTAGAAACATTCACCATAAGTATTTCTGAAGCGGGTTCTGTAAGCTTGATGTGGGACAAAACCATTGTGCGCTTTGATATTGCCCCCGCCTCTTAGAGGTGCAACAATATTTTGGCTTTTAACAAGCCGGCCACACTTAGGCTGTCTATAATATTGCCGTTCATCACCATTTCAATGG